GTGCAGGGTGTGCTCAAATTGCGCGACAAGAGAGCCTGCCTGGTCGTACAAGGGAGGATAATCCTCAATTGCGCCGATTTTTGTCAGGTAGGAAATGTACGGGTTTGGTGCCTTAATAACCTCTGGGTCGATGTATCTTTTGCAGAAGGGGAGCGTGCTGAAGGTTTCCTTGATGTACTTCATCAGGGCGGTTCCTCCCTCCAGCTTGGAGGGCGCCCTTGGGTTGTCGATCATGTAGTGCGAGCAGTCTCCCTTTTCTGTCACGTATCCAGAGCCTGTTGTGGCAAACGTCTCAATCGCAAAGAACTCGCCCACCTCCATTCTCGAGCTGTTTTTTGCCTGCTTGACGATGGGGATGTATTTTCCTCCGTGGATTTTGTACTGCTGGATCGAGTGCCCGTTCAGGTTGGACACCGGCCTGATTGCAACAGGCTTTCCGTCGATTGTGAGCTCGTAGCTTCTAATCACCTCCTCGGCGCGCTCTCCTATTTCTTTGATGAGGGCGTCTGGGCCTGCAAGCTTCAGGCACTCGTACACAGACTCTCTTGCTGCCAGCAGGAGGTTGTTGTACTCCGGGTTGAAGCACACTGTGAAGGCAGAGTCTATGATGTATCCGTTGACGTGCGTTCCAAAGTCCACCTTCAGCACGTCGTTTTCTGTGAGAACCACCGGCTTGGACTTTGGGTTTGGGCTGTCGTGCGCGGCACAGTTGTTCAGCGAAAGGCCCGTTGGAAAGCCTATTCCCTTGTTGTACCCCTTTCCCAGGACGGTTCTTGTGCCGTTCTCTATAAACTCGGCGATTTCCAAAAGAGTCACACCCGGGCGAATCATGGCCTGCGCGTTCTGCCGTACCATGCGGTGTGCCTGGGCAGCAATGCGGGCCGCCTCAACCGGCGCCAAATCGTCTCTGTACTCCCTTTCCAGGATGTTTTCTATTTTGGGCAGCTCCACTCGGTTTAATACTTCTGGGAACATGGGCAGAAAAAATGCAAATGCATAAAAAAATCTCCTGAGATGGAGTCGAACCACCGACCTCGCGATAACCCCAATGGGAAACCATTTCTACAGTCGCATGCTCTACCACTGAGCTATCAGGAGCCACATTCAAGCCGCAAAGGGGCAATCTCGGGCCGCCAAGAGCGTTAGACTGCTGCATAAAAGGAGAAGGCGCATTTTTTTTATGGACCGAGCAGAGGAAATATGCAAGAGTTTACTGCGGGGCGGGAAGGCCGAAAAAATCCACTCTCTAGGCGCGCTGAGCCACTTTCGCAGCACAATGAGACTTACTCCCAGCTGCAACAGCTTTTTCTACGGGTACATAAGGAAAAGGATAGAGGCGCTGGCGGGGAGCCCGTCGTATGCCTTCAGCATGGCGCAGTCTGTGCAGGCGCAGCTCTACTGCGGAGTGCTGATGCTCGAGCAGGGCACGTACTTCTTGCTGGGAGTGCAGCCAGACCTTACTCCGGAGGTGCTGCGGGTGGACTTTTCTGAGCTTTCAGAGTATACTGTGTACTCTGGGCAGGCGATAAAGGTAATGGGGAGAAATCCGGCGGGGGAGGAAGTTGTTGTAGACTCGATAGTATACGACAGCATTCCAGACGGTTTGGCCAAGACGGGCACGGGCACCAGCTTCACGGTCACGTTCATCGACGAGAAAAAGCTGTCCTGGGACGAGCCGCCCTTCCAGCCCGAGGAAAAAAGCGCGGAGTGCGCGCTCGACTCTGAAAAAATGCTGAAAATAGTGAGCGAGTGCGGGTCGGACATTGCCGTGATTTTTGGGGATGTTTCTGCGCGCGGGCGAGAGCTTTACAAGGAGATGCGGGATGCTCGCCTGCCCAGGCTTCTGCTTGTGCCGGCAGTTGACGGGATTGAGTCTAGCATGTGCTACCCCACGGAGTACATGGAGAAGGTTTCTGGGTGCCAGGCCCACGTTGTGCAGGAGAATGTGCCCTCCAGCGGGCTTTATGATGCAGGCAGCTCCCGCATTGTGGAGCTGCAGAACCCCTCGATGGTTGCAGTGAACGGGATACTTCTGGCTGTGACAAGCGTGGACATACTGCGGGGCATATCCCGGGGAGAGGTCAGCAAAAACAGGAGGGGCCGGATGCTGGACATTCTTGCGCACGCGGTCTGCCAAGGCACGTTTCTTCCGTTTGTGCCGCAGGATGTGCCTGTTGACTACTCTGTCTACAACGCGTTTATGTGGCCGTACTCTCCGGACGTGTACGTGTTCCCGACAAACCTGTCCGCAGGCAAGGAGCAGGTGTGCGAAACGCACATTTTCCCGCTGGGAAAAGCGTGGGCTACGCTGGAGGTGCGGTGCGACGGGGAGGGAACTGTTACTGTGGAGGCTGCAGGGTCTGCATAGCTGGGCTGCCGCATGCATCCATTTGGGGCCTGAAAATGCGGGCTTCAGGGATTAGTGTGTAGGAGCTTTACAAATAGCGCAAAAGTCTGCAGGGTGTTTTGAGCCTCTTTTGTGCGGGCGTTTGGCGTGCTCCAGCGAAAAAGCGCGTGTTTGGGCAGGGCGCATTCTGGCATAAAGTGTGAAAAAATTGCTGTTGGCAAAAATTAATGACAAGTCACAAAGAGCGAGTAGACGCACGGATACTGAGTTTGCTGGAGACTGGCGCAAAGCAGAAGCACAGAACAATAATAGGAGTGTGCAGCAAAGTGAAGAATGTGGTGCACCATGTGCATTCTTTGCTCTCCATGTATGTAATCCGGCCGCGCGTTCTGTGGGTCTACGAGAAAGAGCTTGAGGCGAAAACACACAAAATAGGAAAGGCACGGAAAAGAAAGGGCGCTGGCGAGGTTGCCCTGTCAAACTTTGAGTCGTTTATTGTAAATACGGAGATAAACTATGTTTTCCATAGCGAGGCAGAGAAAGTCCTTGGAACCACAACGGACATGTGCATACTGCAGGACTTCTCCAAAATAAAGGCGAATGCGCTGGCCAGTGTGATAGAAAGCGTGCGAGGAGGGGGGATCATTTTGGTGCCCATTGAGGAGACCGAGAGCGTGTACACGAAAAGGCTGTACCACTTGCTGCAGTCCGCTGGGAACTACATCATACTTGACGGGCAGATGAACGTGGTCCGCGACGCGCAGGAAGTGGCGCAGGCGGACGATGAAGACAAGGAAAACATGCTTGATGAGAAGGCAAAAAAGGTAAAGGAGTCTGCAAACGTGCTCAACCCCCTGAGCGTTATTAGCGCAAACAGCACAGCTGTTCTGATGAAGCAGTGCAAAACAGAAGACCAAGCAGACGCCGTTCTGAAACTGTCCGAGGTCTTGGACCGACGGTCTCTTGTTGCCGTTACCGCAGACAGAGGGCGAGGGAAGTCCGCAGCCTTGGGGCTGGCCGTGGCGCACGCCGTGGTTAAGGGGATGAACGACATCTTGATTTCTGCGCCGCATCTGGCAAATGTGCAGACGCTGTTTGAGTTCATAGTTTTGGGGCTGACCGCAAACGGATACAAGGAGCAGTTTGACTTCTTTGTTGAGTACTCAAAGACAATGAAGCGCTCAATTGAAAAGATTTCTGTCTCAAAAACGCACTACCAAACAGTCCGGTTTATGAGCCCGCAGGCGCTTTCGCACTCGCCCTCTATGCTTGTGGTGGACGAGGCGGCAGCTGTGCCCTTGACCGTGCTTAAGAGCATGCTTGGAATGTACCCCACGCTTATCTCCTCCACCACCGCAGGGTACGAGGGGACGGGGCGCGCGCTCTCTCTGAAGCTTTTCAAGTCGCTGGACCCGGAAATAGTCCGGCTAGAGGCGCCCATTCGATACAGCAAGAACGACCCGGTGGAAAAGTGGCTGAACAGCGCGCTTTCGCTGTCGCCCGAAATACCGAAAATGATCACTTTCCCCAGCCACGACAAGTGCCGAGTGTACGCGGTGAATAAGACTCTGCTCTTCTCGGGCCACGAGGAAACCGAAAAAATCCTCAGGGCGCTGTCCAGCATCCTTCTGTCGGGCCACTACAAGAACAGCCCAAACGACCTGCAGACGCTTGCAGACGACCCCAGCCACACGCTTGCAGTGATGCTGACAGAAGAAGGCCGCGTGCTTGGCCTTTGCCAGTGCGTGCGAGAGGGCGGAAAGACGGAAATGGATGAGACCCAGCAGGCCTACAACGAGAAGAGGATGGAGAAGGGAAACCTCATTCCTTGGTCAACCGCGCAGTACTTCCTCGACATGGAAATATTCGAGCAGGCAGGCATTAGAATTATAAGAATCGCAGTTCACCCAGACGCACAGTCAATGGGGTACGGGTCGCACCTGGTCAATGAAGTTGTTAGAGCCGCAGAAACAGGCGAGGAGCTGGGAGCCGGCAGGCCATCCAGCCACGTGCTGTTCTCGCCGTTGGCACTGCCGCGGGTCGACTATGTGGGAGTCTCCTTTGGAGTCACACAGAAGCTGCTGGACTTCTGGCTGCGCCTTAAAATGAGAGCTGTTTATCTGAAGCACACGCTTTGCAAGACAACCGGAGAGCACACGCTTATTATGATGAGGCCAATAACAGCGCGCGCCTCCGCCAAGGTAGAGGCGTACACGCAGGAGTTTACAGAGCGCTTCCTGGAGCTGCTTCCTGGATGCTTCCGGACAGTGCCCACGGTAATCTCGCTGCAGCTGATTACGCCCGTGCAGGAGCGCATGGAAAGGCCGAAGGAGGGGCAGATAGTGCGAATGCAGGAGTTTGCCAAGTGCAACTTGGACTTGCGGATTGTGGTCGATCTGCTCCCCGCGCTTGCAAGGGGCGTTCTTAAAACAAAAAAGCCCATGGTTTCGACCACGCAGAAAGTTATTCTTTTGGGCATGGGCTTACAGCATAAAACAATCAACGACATGAGCATAGAGCTGAAGCTGCAGCAGCCGCAGGTGAAGATACTTATTGCGAAGGCGTTGGCTGCGCTTTCCGCGAGCAATTAAAAATAAAATGCACGGGGTATTAACCACAGAAAAATTCTTTTAGCATTCTAGAATGCAAGCAAAGAGCAAGAGGCGCCAGCACATTCTGCAAAGTCTAGAAACAGTTCGAAAGACGTCGGTGTACGACATAGAGTATAACATGGACGAAACCGACCGGGAGATACTTGCATGTTTGCAGCAGAGCCATCCATGGGTCAACGAAGAAACATACGAGCTGGTTATGGACAGGCTGGAAAAAGAGCATCATTTTTTGCAACGGATTGCCATGACAAAAATATCAGATAGCGATGAATTGTCTGATGAGTGCAATATTTGCGGGGAAAAGGAAACAGAAGACGACGATTTCCTTGTGTTTTGCGATGGGTGCAACATTGCAGTGCACCAGTCCTGCTACGGCGTCCCAAACATTCCGGAGGGGAACTGGCTGTGCCGCCCCTGCCTGCTGGCCCCCAAAAAAACGATAAGCTGCATTCTGTGCCAAAACCCGGGGGGTGCGTACAAAAGAACCAGCAACGGGTTCTGGTGCCACGTTCTGTGTGGAACCTTGGTTCCTGGGGCCCGGTTTGAAAACGCGTCTCTGGTTGAGCCCATTGACACAGAGGACGTCCACAGAAGCCAGAACCAGTGCATTGAGTGCGGCCTCAAAAAGGGGGCAGTTGTGCCGTGCGGATACTACGGGTGCAGGCGCTCGTATCATGCTACGTGCGCTGTGCTGTGCGAGCGGTACATCGACTTGGCAAACTGCATTGTCTTTTGCCACGACCACGACCCGCATAGGAAGGCTGAAAATATTCTCACGCGGTCTCCAGACGCAAACTATCCTATACTGGAGCACACGCCCAAAATACGCCGCCCTGTTTTGCTGTGGACTCCCCAGCGGAGAATCCACTCGGAAATAGAAAGCGTGCCAATCAAAATTTCCGACTATGTTGTTAACACTATTGTTCTACGGGACCTGGACAACTGCCCAGATGCCTCTCAGCTGGTTAAGGACATGTTTGCAGTGTGGCAGGTGCGGAAGAAGGACCGGCCCATTATAAAGCGGCTTCGAATCGACGCGTTGCCGGACGGCTTTAGAAGGTGGGGCGCCAGAAAGATGCCCCACGTGAACATTCCGAAGGACAGCCTGCAGGTTCTCAAAGAGTTCTCGCTTCCTAAGGAGATTTGCCTGCCAGAAGCTGACCAGAGCCTGTATGAAATGGCTGTGCTGGGGGTGCACAGGACACAGATGTCTTTAAAGGCCTTGGAGCAGGAGATGCACGCAATTAACAAAAACACGCTGAAGCTAGAAACAGACCGAATGCTGCTGATTTCCAAGTTTATTCCAGGGTACACGCATATGCAATGGCTTTTCAACAGCCTAGCCCGGACAGACAAGCACGATCTTTTCAAAGAGGCGGTGACTGACGACATCGCGCCCGGATACTCATCGATGATACAGCACCCTGTCTCGCTGGACATGATAAAGAAAAAGATCAGCAAGCTGAAATACAAGTCATACGATGACATGCTAAAGGACGTGGAAACATTAGTTGCCAATGCATACAAGTACAACGGAAGAGAGTCTTTCATAGGGATAGAAGCAAGCCGCTTGGAAGAGGTGCTTGGATACTGGGCGCTGAAAAAGAACAGCTTGGTTTTGGCCCGCCTGCTTCCCCAGCCTTATCTGCCGTACGTGGTTGTATGCACCGAAATGGACACAATGCGGGATGCGCTGGAAATAAAGGACCTGCTGACAGGACATACTTATCTAATTGAGAGGGACCGGGCAATTAAAATAGACAGCGTGCAGGCAGGCCGGGCCCGGATAGCTGAGCTAAATAAAGCAACAGGAGCCACGCCTTCGCAAGAAAAAGAGCAGCAAAGATACATGGAGGAGTACGCACATAGATATGCAAGCCTGTAAATACCTATTAATAAACAGTCCACTCAATTGTTGTTCGCTTCTTTGGATGACTGTCTTTGGCTTCAGGGAGCACTGTGCTGCCATTTCTGCAGAGCATACGTCATAAGATCCCGTCCGCGCTGCCTGTCGCTATACACCACATGGACACGGCTTGGCGCGCTCTCGGCTCTTGCATAGCAGCCCCATGCAGAACCAGCATTTTGTGCTAAGAAGCACTTAAATGCAGGCCAAATGGCAGGTCAGCCATGCTTTTTTGCACCCATCGCACACCTGTACTAATAACCTTGCTGCTGCACTGATTATGCTGCATTTGCGTTTTTATTTCAAAATTGCTTGTGCTTTGTTTTTTCAAATAGGTCAATGTGTTTGACAAAAATATTTGTCTAGCTGTAATAGTAAAAGTGCTAGGTAAAACATTGTCCTTTTCTCATCTCTGGCCTGCTTAAACACGCTGAATTTGCCATAACTTTATGACGGTGTAAATACCTGTCAAACCAACAGCCAATCCCGAGCAACTATGCTTTCAGCATACAAAACACTTTTTTATACGGTTTGGCTTTTGATGCGATGCTTTTCCATGGTGATTCTTCTCTGCTGGAGTCTGATGTTCTGTTTGGGTAAAGCTAAAAATGCAAACTTTAGGCCGCATATTTGGAGAGTGCGTTTTGTGTGCGCGTCCTTTAAAGCATATGCACATTGTACAGCACTGCCCTAAGTATTCTGCACACTCTAAGCGGAGGCTCCTCAAATAATGTGTATTCGATTCTGTGCGAGCTACAAGCCTCCCTCCGCGCAAAAGCTACTTTTTCACGCTTTTTGACCGCAGAGGGCTATATTCCACATAGCCTCATAGGGTTTTGCGCTATTTTATTTCCCTTGGAAATCTGCACGCTCCCTGCTCTTCTTAAAAACTGGCATGCCTGGGCGTCTGGCGCTGCACCGATAAAGTCTTTGGTAGAAGGCTCGCGTTTCTGTGTCAAAATCTTTTTGTGGCAAGCCATACTCCAGACAATTAAAATCACGAAGTCATTCTTGCTTTTGATAAAACCATTTTGTATATTATGGAACGATAGTAAAAATTGCATGTCAGTGAACAGAAGAGCTATATTGGTGTGTGTGTGCTATGCCGCCTATCTTTTAGGTGCAGACTATATTGAACTGGAGCAACAGATTGATTCCGAATGTTTACTGCTGCTTTCCGACTGCATAAGCAGCAGCTACATGCTCTGTGACCCAGAATACAATGTAGGTGACATCTCTTTTATGAATATAGGCAGCCCGAACATTTTTCTTACTAGCGAAAATGCCCCGCCGAGTTTGGAAGTCGCTGCAGAAACTCCTAGCACAAGCGCAAACCCTTTAGGAACGCCGGCGCTTCCATCTTTCTCGCAGTTAATTGCCGAGGCAAATTGCTCAAAACACAAAGCCTTTTTCAATCCGCACTATGACATGAATTATTCATATGAAAATTCTTTGGGCGGCTGTGATGAAAATTATTTGTGTGAAATGGACATCTCGGATAATGCTGGCGCTGCAGTGCCTCTCCACGAAGAGCCTATGCAGGACTCGAGCTCTTCTCCTCCCTTTGAGGATAATAGATCTGAAGACAGCATGGAACAGCAGTCTGCTCTTAAGGTTCACCAGGAAAGCCCTGACTGTGTGCCGCCAACAGACGAGGCGCTGCCCTGCGAAAGCTATATGCAGGCCTATAAAGAATTCGCGTTGTCAGACCAGCAGCTTGCCATCCATAGAGCAGTTTCAAACATACAGTTTTTCAAGTTGAACAAAAAAATTTCATATCCAAGCAAGGCAGAAAAAAAGTCTATTAAAGCGCACATCAATGTGTTTCCCCAAAACACCTGCATTTGGGTCGTTCTCATGGGGATTTCGGTCGACAAAGAAAAACTTTACTACATCCTGTGGCATTTAAAAATCATGTATAAGAAGATACTCATCGAGAATAAGCCTTTCATTGGGTACTATCCCGGGTTTTTTAATGATTTTTTGGAATATATATCCAAAACTGCGCCAAGTATATGCATGCAGCCAAGCCGTGTGCTTTTTCTATCTGCTGATTTGTACGAAAAAAAAACTTTGGGTGACTTGTTTTTGGGCCTCTCCGATGCTTTTGACCCTCTAGCCAATGACGTGGCTTTGGTCAAAAAAAGAGCGTGCCTTTATAGGAACGGCATACACGCCATTTTGTGCATTCCATTTGTGTTGAAGGATCTCAGGTCCTGTGACACCCAAGTGTTTGATAATATTATTAATGCCATAAGAAGAGCAGGGCAATGGATGTATCCAAACCCCGTCCGTTTGGATTTGCACCTTAACATACTAAATCATCTATATCATGAGGCCAATGACGATGGGCCAATAAGCACTGAAAGGGTAGACAAGCTTTTAAGCTGGTACAAATCGTTTTTAGGCTATACCCCGAAATGGTACCAGAGAAAGTCGGTTTCTTCAATTTATACAATCGCCTACAATGCCATCGTGCTGTTTTATAAACACTGTCCTGGGATTATTAAAAGCCAGCGCAGCGGCAATGACTCATCAAACTACATAGTTCGGGGGAAATCTATAATTGTGCTCCAAAAGTACATAAAATGCACGGTTTTTCTGGGCATAGAAAAAGACAAGCTTCTTGCCACCCCCCAAAAAATCAACTATTTTATATTAAATGACCGCTGGGAGGTCTTGCCTCCTTCGGCGCACTATCACATTCACCTGGTGAACAACTACAATCAAGAGTATAAAAGACTGTGCATGCCGCTTTATACGGAATTTGGGCAAAGCCAGTGCATTCACACACTGGACTTGGTTGCCAAGCATCTGTCGAAGCTTTTTGGGTTTTTCCAAGAGCATATATATGTGCTGGAGTACAGCAGGAGCACAAAGAAATGGAGACTCCAGCAAAACATGGACACGCCTGCATTCACTCCTGGTAATGAAGAAACGATTCATGTTTTCTACTTTATTGAAAAGGGCTTGCGTTCCAACCATTTTACATTTTGCACATTCAAGCGCCCCTTTAGGAACGTGCCGAATTGCGAAATCAGCATTCCTTTGTTTCTATCCCCTTTGATGAGAACCGCACTTCTTTTGACACCTTTTGTGCCGCAGAACCCTTCTTTGCACTATCTTGTGTGCCCCGAGCAACTCTTAAGTACTCCGCAGGAACCATCTGTTTATGTGTACAAACCCTTTACCGCGCATAACACAAGTATGCATAATGCGAAAACCTACAACGAAATTGAAAGATACTACAGTAACATGATCCTTGACATGTCCGAGACAGACTTGAACTGCTTTTCTATGCGTTTAAGTGTGCAGAAAACAGCCGACCAGGCAGTAATTTCCTGGTACGCCCCGTTAGATAAAAAAGCAGACGAATTGTCGCATTACTTCTTCAACGAGCTAAAAAAAGAAAACGACGAAATAGTTCACAAATCCATAAAAAAACTAGTTGAAGATATCCAGGAGCTCCACAAGAAAAAAAGCAGCTCCATGCATGGATTTTTCTTTTTTTCGAAAAAAAATAAGGGCCAAGTAATATTTTATAACGAAGGAGTGCAAATACACGGCATAAAGTACGACCCAACAATGCGTTTTACAAAGTCCTGTTTTTTGGTACTTCGAAACACAGGCACACAGTATACAAATATGATAAACGTGCACAATCAGCTGATTCAACTAGCCTTTGGGAAGTCCTCAGGCTTGAGTGAGCATGCATGATATTGTGCAAAACCTATATTCGAGCGCTTATCAAGAGCTCAGTGCATTTGGCTTTGCGTTTTCGCACGCTTTCTGCTTCTAAGCCCGCATTTACCGCACATGCCTAGAAAATCCGGGGAAATATAGATTTTCTTTTT